TGGTGTGGTCTTTCTGAGAGCGCTCTCCCACGAGCTAACCTGGCACCTCTCCCCAGCGCCCCACGAAGAGGATCTAGGTTCTTTTCAGAGCACTTTTCCCTGGGGAGTCCTCACTGTGGGCTGGGGTGGGGGGGGAGGGGAGGTGCGCACACCAGCCGGGCTGTCTGGGTCCCGCAGGATCTGGCGCACTCCTTCCCAGTTCTGTGGGGGAACTCAAGGGCTTCCGCTCATCCTCTGGATTGCTGCCAGGCTGGGTGGGGAGCAGGCCAAGCGGCTGTCACAGGAGAATCCTTCAGTATACTTATCAAAAAACTTCTCAAGAAAGCCTGCCTCTCAGCACAGCCTAATCCCCCAGCCAGACCTGTGACTATCAGAGTCAGAGCCCGACAATGCGCCTCTCAATTCTCCTGGGCTGGTGACCACAGAGTCCAAGGTTGAACACAGCCCTTTGTCCTTGTTACCCTCTCTGTAAACTCAAGCAGAAAGGTCTCTCTCTGGTGTTGCCCAGCCTTGCTTAGATGGGGAGGGAGGGAGCTGATGACCCGGCTCTCTCCCAAGGACCTTGCGGCAGGCCCGAGGCTCCCAGAGAGTCTGCTGTAGACCCACTGGGTGCTGGGGCTCCTGAAGAGTCCATGGCAGATGCAAAGGGCACTGATCGCCGGCCGAGGCTGCTGCTGCTCCTGTCTTTGCTCCAGTCCCTGAGACCCTACTGTCCTGCAGCTGTCTCCTTACCGTCTGGTTTTTCAGTGTCTGTTACAATTTCTGGTCTCTTATTTTCATATAGGCTGGGGAACTGTTGGCTGTTTGCACTGTTCCTCCATAGATCGGCCAGGATTTTCTCCCATGTGTACGGGAAAATAGAATCCGCTTGGTCCTACTCCGTCGCCATCTTGGTACCCTAATCTCTTTTTATATGAACATCAGTCACATTGGATTAGGGTCACAGCTACTGACCTCATTATGTCTTTATTTCCTCTTTGGAATGTGACTGCCTTTCCAAACACAATCACATTTTGAGATGTTGGGACTTAGGGTTTCAACATGTGAATTTTAAGGGGGGCCCAATTTGGCACCCATACCAGGGAGGAAGTTTCTGGGAACTGCTTTGAACAAAGAATCCTGGAAACATGAAAAGTTACCCCAGAGAAGTGCTCGAGGTGGGGGCCTCGCATTGCAGAGCCCAGAGGTGCTGCAGGTCCCCAGAGGAAATGGCTCAGTGGTGTCTCTGGGCAGTTGAAGCTATGGGCAGCCTCGGAGAGTTCCCTGGGCAAAAATTAGCCTTATCACCAAAAATCAGCCAGGCTCAGGAATGGCAGAGACTGTACCGTTCTTGGCAGGTCCCAAGTACAAAACTGGAGGGCAGATGGCTTGGAAGCACACTGGTGCTCGGCACACTGATGCTGGACATATGGCTGGGCAATCAGATTGACCCCTCCTTACTCTCGATGCCTGGGCTTTCCCTGAGCTCCCTGGAATTTTGATAGTCCTAGGGAAGGAACATGTGGGGAGGGGTGGTTCCCTGTGGTTCTGATACAGGTAGACCTGTATCAACCTCTCAGCATCCTGATGCAAAGGGACCTTGGCCTAAATTAAATTGCATTAGGAACAAAAAGAAGCTAAATTATTTGCATTCCTGGTGAGTTTGCATCCATGTGGCCTATGCATGGGTCAGTTTGGGCTCCCCAAGAGGCAGACCCAGGAAAAGGATTTGGGGGTAAATCCCTCCTGCCAACACCTTGGTTTTAGTCTCGTAAGACTCCTGTCTGATTTCTGACTTCAGTTACTAAGTTGGTGGAGATTTGTTACAGCAGCAATGGGAAACTAAAACAACTACAAACTCTCACTTCTTTTGAAACTCATGGTCATCTCAGACTGTCATCTACTGTCTCACCTTTGATGGAGAAGTAACCTAACCTCTCTGTGCCTGGACTTCCTTGTCCCTAACATGGGTGTCCTACAGGGCCATTATGAGAATGAAGAGAGTTACTGTGAATTAATGCACCTGGCACAGTGTCGGGCACACAGTGAGGACATGAGAAGCATGACCTACAATGAGTGACCATTATTACTGTAAGAAGAACAACCACATGGCATGGTGAGGAAATGTGGCTGTTATTCATGTGACAGGGTACAGCCAGGAGGGGGGCCCCAAATTGGGATTTGGAATGGGGTCCAGAACTTGAGGTATCCAGGAAATATTAGAAAGATGTATAGGATGTCCTCCCCCCTTCCCCCCACAGGTGTGAGTTGGGGGAGGGGACACATGGAGCAGGAACATGCAGAGCTGTTTCATGCAGCAACAGCTTTGCAGCTAACCTCTGGCATGGCCATTTAACCTTTCTATAACCTTTAACTGGTTGCATTGATATGTTGAATAGCTATGGCCATGCTTTGAGCCAGGGGGATGGAAGTGACTTCCACCCAAGATGGAACTAGGGGGCAGCTTCCCCTGGTTACAGCGCCTGCATTAGAGCTTGGAGAAGATTGGCTCCATGCCATGAAGCCACACCTGCCCAGACTCACGATGGCAGCCCAGTAAACTTGGAACAATACGGGAATGCTGGCAGGTGTAACTGATTGTAGGAGGAGTCGGAAATGGGGGTGCAGAGGAAGGTTGGTGCAGGGATTTAAACCCGGACTCGGCAGCCATGTGAAGGGAGAACCATGTGGCTTTGGCAGAGTGGGAACCCTGCAGCTTTGGCGAGAGGGAGGACCATGTAGCTTTGGGGTGCTCCCTTTTGTCACATGGCTTAGGAAGCAGAAGAGACTTTGCCTGGAAGAAAAGGGGAGAAAGGGCTCTTGCTGGTGGGGCATGAGAAGGTGCCCCATGGCTTTGGAGTAACTGGAGATCCTGGTGGCAACACAGCTGATGGTGCTGGGAGCCCAAATCATGGACTTCTACTTCTTTTCCTGAGATACGGTATCCAGACCAGGGCAGAGGGAGAAGGAAGGACTGTGTGTGTCTGTGGGTATCCTAAAGGACTTTAATATTTTAATGAAGACATTGGGTCACTACTCTAAGTCTGTATAGCTTTAAATAAACATTCCTTTCCTTTTCACAAATCTCTGGCATTGAAAGATGGCTTTCCTCTGGTGGCTGGCATAGCAAACCTAGTGGGGGGGTCCTTTGGTAATAGTATATCATACTCCCCTTGGCCCTGTTCTGTAACACTGAGCCTCTGTGTGGGGACAGGGGTGGAGTGGTGGAGACTGTGGTGGAGACTGCAGTGAGCTGGTGAGCTCATGCCCCCTCCAAAGGGGACAGCCACTGCCCACCCCAGACTGGGCTGTTGTCACAGCTTCCAACTTTCCAAGAAAACCCAGAAATCTGGGTCTGTCCCTGAGCAGAGTTTTGTGATGGTCTATGTATTGGCTACTAATTACCATTTTAAAAACACACTCAGTGACTAGAAGTGCCCTAAGAACGGAAGGTCATCTTTGATGTCATAGCTGGAGAACCCAAAACTTAAACGTGCCCGCGATTACAGCTCCGCTTACAAAAGAGCCTTGTGGGCATTGGAGGGCTCCCGGTGGGCCAGCCCCTGGAAGAGTACTTAAAGGCTCAAGTCCGCTCGTATCACAGTAACCAGCGTGACCCAGAGGCCACTCTCCATCCTGTTTTACAGATGAGGAAACTGAGTCCCAGAGAAGCCCAGAACGAATGCAGCTCAAGATCACCCAGCTGGCAAAGGCGAACTGGGGTGAGACCCCAGGCGGTTGGGCTCTGGTGCCAGAACCACCCTGTCTCTCTGACAGGGTGCGTTGCAGTGTCTGAACACAGTGCCCTGGGCAGGAGGGCACGACATCATGGTAGGAAATTAATAAATGACTTTCTCATCATTTTTCCTTCCACTACCTCTAAGTCTTGACAAGACATGAAAGGAAGGGGGGGGGGTAGTGTTTCCTGCCCAGGGGCTGAGGGGAGGCTGTAGATGGCAAAATCCAGGGCTTGGGTTAACTGGAGTGGAGGGGAAGGCTCAGCCTGTAAAGATGCTGGAGCCCGGGAGGTAAAAGCGGAAACCAAGTAGCTAAACTTCTGAGAAGTTGAAAAGTAGGTTAGTGGCCTGAGCTAGGGGCTTCCTGCCCTGACACATGATCAGGCAGCCTGCCCCGCTGTCCTGCTGCTGCGGCAGCCAGTGCGCCTGCAGGGCGCTCTCTGCTTTCCCTCCTTCTTCCTCTCCGTCCTTCTCTCCCCTCCCTCTTTTCCCACACCCCTCCTACCCCTACCCCTCCTTACCCACCCTCCCTCTTTCCCTCTTTCCTTCACTTCAAGCCTGAGATGCCCCTACCTGAAATAATCCTTGGAGGCTAAACTTAGTGAAAGGTTCCAACCCCAGGCGGAAGTTCGTGGTTGCAATAAATACATTGGCCCTGCACCTTGGTCTGCTCATCAAAGCCACGGAAACAGAAAGACCATGATGAGAGTAAAGGAAACTCCAGCGGGGCTGGGGCCAGGCCTTTGGGGCTGTCCCACCTCCCACCAGCCCAGTAATGGCAGAGAGGCATGAAGCCCTGTGTCCCTGTTGGTGGGGGTGGGGGTGGGCACGGTGTTCCTGCTCTGTCTTCACATCAGGAGCATGGGGACAGAATAGCTCCTGTCCAGGTATATATATAAAGATGCGACGTGAGTTGTCTGTCATTGGGAAAGTGTCCAAGAAATGTTCTTGCTAGCAGTTCTAAATCACGTTTGGCACTTGCACACTTACAGAGCTCCGACTGGGTACCAGGGACCGTGCCAAATGGCTTTTCCCATGCCTGATCTGACTTAATCTTTACAACAAACCTGTGACGCAAGGACTGTTGTGACCTCCCATTTTACAGGTGAGGAAACTGAGGCACAGAGAGGTGACAGGACTTGCTCAAAGACACACAGCCAGGATGTGGGGACGTGGAATTGGAACCTGGGACTGTCAGATCGAAAAGCCTGTTCCCTTCAGCCCTGTACGGGGCAGCAATGACAACAGCCATATCAACAATGACAATAATAATTTATTCACCTCTGGGATCTGATCCCTCATCTGAAGTCCTTGGAAGTAGGACTTCCTGCAGCCACGCCACCGAATACCCTCCGTGTGTGTGTCCTTACTGCCTCTCCCCCGCACTCTCCCCAGGCCCCCGGCCACCGCACGCTTCCAGGCTGCCTCTCTGTACCAGACGTCTGCAGTAAGGGTGCTGGGCGGATGTAGGCTCCACTCCCCCAGGGACTGGGTTTGAGGAAGGCAGACCCAGGCGTGAGCTCTCTGCTCTTCCCCAAGCTCCCTGCATGCAGTTGAGCCAGCTGGGTTCAGGTTTCTTATTCGTAAAGTGACCTCTGGAGGTCATTCCGTCTATTTCTGGGTCTCTGCTAGCCACCCCAGCCCTAAGGCTAGGTGGACCCAGATGAATAAACAACATTTGCCGTTTGTTCCAAGGCCCGTGGTCAGGGGCCCAGGGTTACACACAAAGCCTGGTCCTCACCCCAGGACGTGTTCTCTCGGCTGAGAGGAGCCTCGGGCTGTGTGTGTGATGTGCACTTGTCATGGCGATGCTGTGTGCGCGTGATGAGTCCGACTGTGATGTGGCAGGTGAAGTCTGATGCGATGATCATGTGTGTGACTGCATGGCCCGCGTGAGTGCCTGGGGTTGGGACGATGACTTCTTGTGTGTTGCGTCATGTGTGGTTATCAAGAAGTGTCAGTGACCAAGTGTTTGTGATGCTGTCTACGACTTGGATGGGGTTGTGTGAGGAACCGATGCTTTGTGTGCTTGAGCCTGTCATTGGGACCGGGTGAGACTGCGGAGTGGTGTGACGTGCTGCGATGCGGCAGGTGCCCCTGTCTCCATCTGTCCCTCTCTCCCCCCTCTGCCCCTTCCTTCCTTCTTCAAACATCTTCTGAGTGCCCACGGCGCCAGGCCCTGGCCCGGGGGCCGACTCACAGCTGCGGTGTCCTAGCGGGTGTGGCTGCCCAGCAGGGCCGGGATGCAGCCAGCGGCTGGTGAGATGTTGGTAGCCAGCAACCAGCCTCCATGGGAGCATTTACACCTTGGGACTGGGCAGATTCAGGAAGCCCCTTCCCTCTGGAAAGAGCTGGTTGTCAAACATTTACCAGCACACCCCGTGCCTGTGCCTCTGAGTGTCACTTTGTGTGACCAGGCCGAGGTGTGGCCACAGCCCGTGGGAGGAACTTGAGTGTGACTGTGACCATGGGTGGGGTTGGGCTCTCCATACGGATGAATCTGAGTGATAAATCCCATTCCTTCTGCCCACACTTGTGGGAGTGGGGGGGGGGATGTTTCCTGCTCTCAGCCAAGTCCCCTGACCCCCTGCCCAAGTTCCGCTTTCCTTGGAATCAGAAGCATAAATACCCACCCAACCCTCCTTCCGGAATATCAGGCAGATGGGCTTTACCCTGTTTGGAGGCCTACAGACCTCACGTCTCTGGGTCTTTGCTTCTGGTGCTGTCTGTGGTGGGCTCTGCAATTTTTTTTGTCCTCTCCAGAGGTGCCCTCTGAGTCTCCAGCCTCTTGGCATGGCTGGGTTCTTGGCCCTTGGTGGTGCCCGCTGACTCCCCAACTGCTGGGTTTTGGGGTCCCTGGGACATCCTCCAAGGTCTCTGCTGGCTGGGTTCTCTGTCTCCTGGGACACCTCCATGGTCAGAGCCCATCCAGTCCACTGTCACTCCTTCCTTCACACCATGAATGCCCCGAAGTAGCACCGGGTGCCATCACGGAGCCGGACCAGGCGCTCGTCCGGCACCCGGACGACCACCTCCTCCCCGGCGTCCAGGTGCACCACGCCGCCCAGGAAGCTGCTGTCCCACCAGCTGCGGGGGCTGGTCCCTGGCCCACAGGGCGACCGCCGGCTGACCAGCAGCTCCAGCTCCTCAGGATAGCGAGGCGTGCGCTTGTAGAGGCCGTGAGTGATGGGCAGGCCACCGTACAGCCCCTGGGGGCAGCCCACGCCGCCCAGCTGCACCTTGGAGTAGATGTAATAATAGCCAGCTCGGGCAACCACCAGGGCGCCGTCCCGGTAGCGGAGGTTCCTCAGGAAGGCCAGGCCCAGCTTCGTCTCCCACAGCAGCGGGCCGCCACTGCCAGTCAGGCTGGAGTTGGCCCCTGGGGAGGGAGGCAGAGGGGATGGGTCAGCATATGCCCTACATTTGCTGTGTGACCTCGGGTCGGTCACCACCCCTCTCTGAGCCCCCACCTCTATGTATTAATTTACTTTATCCTCTCTTGTAGGTTGGAAAACTGAGGTACAGAGCAGTGAAGTCACTTGCTTCTTATACACCCTACACCCATCTTGTTGTCTTCTTGCTGGTGGGGAAACTGAGGCATGAAGCAATTAAGTGACTTGGCAGAAGTGCCCCAATTTGTCAGGGACAGAACTGAGGAACGGAAGCAGCGCCCACCCCGGTCTAGCAGCCTTGTCACCCCTGTGTGCGTTTTCCTCGAAGTAAAGTGGAGCTGTGGCTCTTACCTGCTCAGGAGTTAATGAATTAATGTGTATGAGGTATATCATGGTGTATACCACCTGTGAGCCAGGCTCACAGGTTTATTCAGTGAATCAAGTTGGAAGCACACTGACCTGGGCCGTGCCTGTGCCCTGGGCAGCCCTGAATGAATACTGAACCAACGCATGGATGACTACCCGGGCAGGTTGTGTGTCTGTCTGGTCTCCCCAGGACACGCCGCCCCCACCCCCGCCCCCTGCCAGGACCCGGGTCCTCCTCACCTGTGAGATGCGCTACCGGATTAGCCTGGTGGGACCTCCGCTCTGGAGAGAGAGTCAGAGTCAGCAGGGAGGACCGTGTGGAGGGTGAGGACGGGCCTCCAGGAGGTCATCACGTCCACCTGCTGCCGCCAACCCCACCCTTTCCGGAGTGGCCCAAACTTCTGCTTCTTGGGCTTGGGGGAGGGGCATCCGTGGGCTTTGGGTTTGTTGCGCAAATCCCACTGGGCAGTGGAGGTGGGGCAGCGTGGGAACCATCCCACGCCTCTCCCTGGGGCCCACGACCCTGACTCACCTGGGATCAGCTGCTCCCCGGACCACGGGTCTTTCTCCTGAAAATGCAGAGGAGCCCAGAGTGAGGACGCGAGGGGCTGGCCCTGGTGTCCCTCAGACTCACAGACAGACCGTGGGCCCGGCGTCGCCCTCAGGCCCACACTCAGGGCCACGTGCACGTGCCCCAAGCCCCAGGGGCCTCGGCCCTGTGCTGCCTTCGTTTCCCCCTCTGTAAATGGACACCAAAGAGCGCCTGCGCAGGACCCCAGGAGGCCATTTGTGTACAGCGATCGCAGTGCCTGGCCCTGAGACAGTAGTAAGAGCTCTGTAAGGGTTTATACAATAAATGATATTCCAGATCCGTAGACATACGGCATAAATGCCAACCTGTGGATATGGACAAGCGACACTGGATACTTAAGTGACAATGACAAGACACACGTGGATGCACAGTTTATGGGTCCAGGTGAGTCTGTGACACACAGAGACCCAGAAACAAAGACAGCACCAGCCCACGGGCCGGGGACAGGCGGGTGTATGGGTGCGTGGGCGAATGTGCGCAGGACAGCAGCACACAGGCCACGTGGGCATGAGGACATGCCCACGTGGCCACCAGATCCAGACACAAAGAGAAATGACCTGGAGACATAGGATACAAAGTCTTGACCACATGGGCATGACCTGAGACGTACAAACCCAGAGGTGTGGCCAGCAGGCAGTCACATCTGCGGCCAACCAGGAACAGACACAGAGAGATTCTCAGAGACTCGGACAGAGTGGATTAGCTGCAATCCCAGTGACAGTGACCTGGGACAGCGACTGGTAATGCCCAGTGCCAGAAGGTGGGTTTCAGAAGCTACAGACAACAAAGCTGTGTCATAAGCATTAAACTGGCTGAGAGACTAGATTTCAGTTGCTCCCGAAGTAGAAGAAACAATAACATGACACAGTAGGACACCAGCTGCCACTGCCAGGCTGATCTTATAGTGGTAGAAAGGCATCCGATCCATGTGCTGTGCGTCCTTCGCCTCCACAATGTTAATTTTGTAAAAAAGCAACGTTGGCTTCCACTGGGTGGACGCTTGCCACATGCCAGGCACCACGGGCACAAGTCACGCAACATTGTATTTTATTCCCTCTGAGGTGGTCATTCTTATTTTCACGCCCATTTTACAGATGAATAAATTGAGGCCCCGGGAAGTGAATGAACTCACCCTGCACTGCTCTGCGTCTGTCCCCCGCCCGGCACACCCATGCCCAGAGAGACACGCAGGGACACAGGAGACCGGCCTGCCGCGAGCCCCCAGCCCCACTCACCGGCAGTGGGGCAACCATTTGTCCCAGGCGCTGGTGCAGCTGCAGCAGGAACCAGCCCTGCACCGCCATCCCGGCCACCAGCAGCAGCAGCAGGAGCCCCAGACCCAGCTGGGCAGCACTGCATGTTTTTCTCTGGCGGCTGGGTCCCAGCCTTGTGAATGGGATGTCCGTCTGTCCGTCCACCACGAACACCGAAGGCCGCACCACTGTCTCCTCCATGCCTGCGCTGATGAGGCCCCGAACGCCCAGACTAGGCCGGTACAGCTGGGTCTCGCGGGCTGAGAGGAAAACCACAATTGCCCAACACTCCTGGGCTTTGCACGCTGCAGACAAGCACCCGTGGGTCCCGGGGCTGCCTTTAGAGCTGGGGTTCAGCCCCTCCCCTTTCCCCCTTGCCCTCCTCTTCTTCCTGTCCCCACACCCCCGCCGGCCCCGTCTCACTCTCACTCATGCAGCTCTCATACTTTCCAGAGGCAGCTGGAGACGTGACTCAGGTGGAGACTGGGGAGCAGAGGCCCTGGCTTTCCCTTCCGGCCGCCTCGTCCACGCGGTCGCCGAGTATAAACCGAGTATCTCCTGTGTGCCAGGCGCTGTTCTAGGTGCCAGGGCACAACCATGAACAAGAGAGACAGAAGTCCCTGGTCTTACAGAGATCCTATTCCAGTCAGGCAAGGAAGACAATGAGCCCAATAAATAAAATAATCTATAGAGTTTTAGATAGTGATAAGAGTAAGAGAAAACACAAGAGTGGCTTGTGTGTGGGTGTGTATATGCTTGTGTGTACATGCATGTCTGCATGCAGGTGTGTGTTGTGTGTATGCATGTGCACAGGCATGCAGCGTGCATGGAGGAGTGTGCAGGTGCGGGCATGTGTGCTTGTTTACATGTCTAGGTGTCGGGAGCCGGCCAGCAACCGTCCCTTGACACAGTAGGGACGGTTGAAATGCATCTGCAATGCAGAGGCAACTGTGGCTGGATTTCCTGTCTATATCTCCTTACAAGTTTGTTTTGGTGATCAAAAGGTGGTGGGATTGTTAGACACCTGTATTTCAGGTTCATTGATTTGCATAATTCCAATGAAGTTGTGCAAAATAATTTCTTGACCAGAGAACAAAGTTCCCTCTAATGAAATAGCCCCTGAATGTCTAAAAATTGTTGGAGTAACAGCCCCTTCTTTACCTTGAACAGAAATATATATTAATTAGAAGTAGACAGGCAAAGAAACAAGAGAAGCTTGTTAGCAACTATAAACTAAGCATGTAGAAACAATTACCAAGGAGTTAGAGTCCCTAGTACATAGAGAAACATTTTGGACAGAAAGATAGATAGCTGAGTTAGACATCACAAAGGCCTTATAATGAATTTCCTAAGCTCTGCTCGGTCTAGTGAACCTTTTGCCCCATGCCAAATTCTAAGACCTTTAATAAACAATAAGACATTCAAACTAGAGCTATTTAAAATTGTTTGATTAATAGTTCTCCTGGTCAAAACAACTTTTGTTTAACATAACAGAAACTGGAAATTCTTGTACTTTTCCTGGTTACCTCTGTATTGTTTTTTTCTGCTTAACTGATCACGCCATGCACCTGGTCCTTTAATGTTATACAACAATCTCTATAAAAATAAAGCCTAAATCAAACTCTGAGAGTTTGGTCAGACCCACAGAGGCTGGCTGTTCTACGGCATCCAATCGGGTGCCTGACTCTTCATTCGCCTGCGCCGTCCATCCTTCAGGGACCCTGAACCCTGTGAGGCCCGGCATCTGGGTGCGTACAAGTGTGTGTGTGTGTATAGCATGTGCACATATGTGCACCCAGGCAGGTGCAGGCATGGGCATAAGTGCACTCATGTATGTGTTCATGCACATGTGTTAGGTTTTAAAATTATTTATTTATTTTTGAAGAAAGGGGAAGGGAGGGAGAAGGAGAAGAAGAGAAACACTGATGTGAGAGAGAAACATCCATAGGTTGCCTCTCACTCCCACCAATTCACGTATGAACAAGGGACCTGGCCCACAACCCCAGCATGTGCCCTGACCAGGAATTGAACCAGAGAACTTTTGGTTCGTGGGACGATGCCCAGCCCACTGAGCCACACCAAGCCTGTGTCTTTTGAGTTTTAATTGGAACTCAAAATCATGGGGGGAACCACTACCCAATCAGATGAATAAGCCTGGGGCCCGGGAGTCATTCTGGACCCTCCATTTGTCCTGTCTCCCACATCCCACCCTTCAGCAAAGCCTGGTGATTCCACCTCCAAACCAGGCCTCAAATTCAGCCACCTGTTTCCACCCCCATCACTGCCACCATGGCTAAGTGTTACAGACTGAATGTTTGTGCCCCTCAAAGTGCCGTGTGGAAGCCCCAGTCTCCAGTGTGATGGTATTTGAAAGTGGAACTTTAGGGAGATAATTGGGTCGCGGCGGTGGAGCCCTGGTGGTGGGACTACTGGCCTTATTCGATGACCCTGGAGAGAAATACTGTCTCCCACGTGGGAACACAGTGAGCTGGCGGCCATCCGCAAGCCAGGAAGAGAACTCTCACCCTGATCTTGGCTTCCAGCTCCCAGAACCGTGAGACATGAATGTCTATTGTTTGCACCATGCACTCTGAGGCACCCTGTTACGGTAGCCCAAATGTTCTGACACAGTCAGGCGCCACCATTGCTTGCTTGGGCTGTTGCAGTAACTTCCAGCAGGACATTGCGCTTTACCTCTGGCCACCTTATAATTCATTCTCTGTCCTCCAGCTAGTGTAACCTCACTGAGGCTTATATTGATTTGTGTGTGTTTTATTGTATTGAGGTGAAATTCATACATCATAAAACTAACCATTTCAGAGTGAGCTGCTCAGTGGCATTTAATGCCTTTACCATGTCGTGCAGCTCTACTTCCAAAACATTTTCAATGTCCCCAAAGGAAACCCCACAGCCACTGAGCAGTGGCTTCCCGCTCCCCAACCTTCCTGGCCCGTGGCAGCCACTAGTCTGTGTTCTCACTCTATTGAATTACCTGTTCTGGGTAGTTCGTGAAAGTGAAAGCATGCACCGTGTGGTCTTCTGTGTCTGGCTACTTTCCCTGAGTCTCTTGTTCTCAAGGCTCCCCACATGGTAGGAGTGTCACTGCTCTGCTCCTTTGTTATGGCTGAGTGACATCCCAGTGTGTGGACATTCGTTCTCATCCATTCTCATCTGTTGGTGTGCATTCAAGTTGTTCCCACCTCCTGGCCACTGTGAGTCAATCTGCTGTGAGCCTGCATGTACGTACATTTTCTGGGTACCAGGTTTCAGTTCCTTTGGGTACATAACTAGGAGTGAAATGGCTTTTTAAACAGTTAAGGCAGCTCTTATCTCACCCCTGTTTAAAATCTTGCAGTGGCCTCCTAATGAGCTCATTAGCAAACTGTGGCCCGTGGGCCAAATCCAGCTGACCTCCTGTTCCCTTACAGCCACCGAAGTGGCTCCCAGGGGTGGGACCTTGGTAAGCTGTAGAAACATAGCTGGGGCACCTTCCTCTGTGCCCCAATCCCCATGCTGCCTCCCTGACCGGCAGCCAAAACCTCGCCGCAGTCCATGTTCTGTGCTGGTCACACTGGCCACCACCTACACATCGGATTGTCCTCTGCTGGTGACTGTCAGGCACTAAGTGGATGAATCTCATTCTGGGGGTGGGTGACTCAACATGTTGACTTGCCTCAGGCCAGCTAATCCATGGGAGATGGCTGGGCCTCGGGAGAGAGACTGGCCTGGGGAGTCACCCCTCACCCGTCCACCTGCTTGGACGGCCAAGCCTCAGATGGATCACTCTTCATCCAGAGAATGTCCATAGCAGTGAAGCACCAATCACGCCCACCGCACCATCCCAAGCAAACAGGGTTTGCCAGGGTGAAAGTACCTTCACAATACCTTCAATTTTATCTCACCTCTCCAAGCCTAAAATATTTACTATCTTGCCATTTAAAGAAAGAGTTCGCCATTCCCTGAGCTTAGAATGGACACTGTGTGGCTGTCACTATCTTGATGTCCTTGTACCCTTGAAACTGCTGTCCCAGGGCCTTTGCATGTACTGTTCCCTCCGCCTGGAACAATCTTTCCCAGATCCCCCTTTGTCACCTACATCTCAACTCTAGAACCCCCTCTTCACTGAGGACTCCCTTGACCACCCGTATGAAGCAGGGTTTTCCAGAGAAAAAGAACCAGTAAAACATCTATGCATATATATCTGTATCTGTGTATCTTATTTACAGCTACATCTGTATCTAATTTGTATCTGTATTCTCTAATATGTATGGACAGACAGAGACAGAGGTTTACGTGAACCGGCTCGTGCGATTGTGTGGTGGGCGTGCCTGGAATCCACAGGACGAGCCAGCAGGTTGGAGACTCGGCTGAGTTGATGCTCAGTCTTTAAATCGGAAGGCGGGAAACTCAGGCAGAATTTCTTCTCTGCTGTCTTGAATTCCCTTTTCTGTGGGGAACCTGATTTTTTTTCGTCCTTTCAATTGACTGGCTAAGTTCTATCCACATTATCGAAGATAAAATGCTTTTAAAGTCAACTGACTTGACTTTAAATGAATCGAAGTAGGCATGAATCCCACTTTTAAAAAATACCTTCATAGCTACATTTAGCCAGTGTTTCACCAAGCGACTGGTCTCCATGGCCTAGCTAAGCCCACACATGACAGGGACCATCCCTCTGTCTAAATGATTGTTACTGGTGGCCCACCACAGGCGGCTCCCTCGCCGTCCGAAACCAGCTCCATGCTGCCTTCAGAATGGGAGTTCCCTCGGATCTTGTCTGTGCTGTTCACAGCCTAGAACTGCAGGTGCTGAAATCCAACGAAACCCCTCACTTTAAAGAGATGAAGAAAACAGGCAGGAGAAAGGGGAAATAAGCAAGAAAAGAAATGAGAAGATGGAAATGAGAAGAAATGAGAAGAAACGAGCAGATGTCAGCAGGGACATCCGGTGAGTGATGAGGGTCTTTGAGTCTGCCCTCCACCAACGTCTCTGGCAACTGGGGGCTGGAGGAAGCAGGGTGGACTGTGAATGTGTCCCCCATAGTCCTGGAAGTGGGAGGTAAGGGTTTCTAGGACCCAGGAGTCTTAGGGGAAGGGGGCTGTGCTCTGGTGACTTCTAGGCTGAAGATTTTTTCCCCTGATGGCTGGACCCAGAGCCCTGAGCTCAGAGCCCGCCCTCAACAGTCCTCGAGGACCTAGAGGTTAGAAGAGGCCTTTGGAGCCCCGGTTTCGCTTTGCAACCAGTAGTTCCACTCAGCCTGGTGGTTGCCATTCTGGTGGTTGCCGTCGCACCACCCCACGCAGTTCTGGAGCTGTGGTGACCTAAATAGCTCCTGCGCTCCATTCAGCTGCTGACTCATGCCTTCCCTCACTCACTCAGGGCTCCAGCCGGAAATATCACCCGACCTGCCCCTTACCACCCCCTCCTGGGCACAGACACCCACTGGGTGGTGCAGAAGCACTGAGGAGTCTGCTCGGGCCCTCTCATGAGGATTGGGGAGGGGAGGGTGAGCTTAGAGCAGGGGTGTCAAACTCATGTTCACCCGGGGCCACATCAGCCTC